TGATGATTTGCACAAGGCGTGCTCCAGTTAACCTTCAACCTACAGGGAGAAAAAGAAGGAGGACAAAGTCCTGGTGACCTGCTTGCACCAGCAGTTGAACACTGGATGCAGCTGTGTGGCAGCATTTCTCATGTAATGCTGCAACCAGAAGGAGCATTTTCTTATCCCATCTTCCACTGACTGTGATGTTTAATACCCCACACAGTGCATTGCAGGGTCAACAGAGAGCTGCCACCCAGTGACTGCATGGCTCTATCAGTTATTATGTGTAGCAATTAGAAATTCACAGTAGCTTTGAGGAGGTGCACCTGAGTCCCCAAACCTTCATCTTCTGCAATCAAAATTTGCAGCCATTTCTCTGAAATCTGCATCAGCCTTGCTTGAAACAGCATCCAATGGGACGAACCAAGCAGCAGGGTCTCTTGCCATGGCCAAGACAGAAGGGACAAACCTTTTGCTTTGCTCATACCCTAACCTTAACCCCAAACCCTAACCTTAAACCTTAGAGCCTAACCCTAAACCTATCCCTAAGCTTTAATCCTAACCCTAAACCCAACCCTAACCTTAACCCTCACCCCAACTCCAATCCTAACCCTAATCCCAAACATAACCCTAACCCCTAACTCTGACTCTATCTCTAAACCCCAAACCTACCCAGCATAATACAGGGATAGTAGCGCCTGTTTGCAGCCCTCAGGAGTGTTTCTTTACAGCAAATATTCAAGGGACTGCTTCTTTTTGCTGGCCTGGAGCTGAGCATCCCACAGTTAATTGCTGAACTGGGTACCCCACGCAAATGCTTTGCCCCAGCTGAGAACCATGGAACCAAGTGGAATTAGCTTGAATCGAGTATACGAGGAGTTGGAATGCAAGCAGTGCACCCACAAGCACTACTTCTTTTAAATTGCTTTATGTAGTGCTTCCAGATGTGGAAAAAACCAAGTGGAAGTTGCCACTCACTGATGTTTTCACATCTGCTGCCTTAAAGCAGGTTGAAGTGGCTGCTGTTGGCAATAATTAGTGCTGGCGATGTGGCAGAGGGATGCTCTGCAGGGCTCCCCTGCAACAGAGGTTTTCTGTGCCATTTTTGCCCTTTTTTTCCATCTGCTTGGGAACAAAACCAGCTGCTCAGCCCTGCTCAGATCTCAGAATGCTCCTTCACACAGGCGCCCATCTGATTGCTTTTGTTCAGAAACAGTGAGGGCCACAAAGCTTCAAATCACTGTAGTATCTGACTATCTTCAAGGGGGAATTTGTCTTGCTGGGAGGACAACTCTCCACTCACACAATAGCTCTATGATTGCCACCCACTTCCCCAGAGTTTGCTCCCTCTCCAAATTCGCTCCCCTCTCCAAACCTGAAAAGGAGACATTTGATAGCATTTAATCTCCCTATTAACACGTGCAATCAGAAGCTGCAGCTGAGGGAAAAGACACGCTCCAAGCCCTACTTTGGAAGTCGTGCCGTGGCTTCAGAGGAAAAATAACAAGGAAAAAAAAAAAAAGCAAATAATAAAAAAAAAAAAGCTGCAAGCGGTCGCCTGTTTGCTTTTCATATCTTGGCACTGCTTACACTTGGAAACAGCATATAGATCAATAAATATATCTGTATTTATACATATACACACACACACATATATACATATAACTTGCAGAAGTCCAGAAGAGTGAACACAGCAGCTGATCTCTTGCTGCAGACCCAAAGTCAAATCCTGCCCTGTGTGATCAGTGTGGGCTAACACAAGACAGAAAAAGAGGGACCCAAAAAGCTCACCAAGAAGAAGGGAGGCAAGTTGGATTTCTGCTCCTACTTCAGCTTTTGTTTCTCTCTTGCTCTGCATAGAACAAATGCAAATCTGCAGAAGCTGAGCTTATCTCAGTGCAAGAGATGCACGGAGCAGCCTGTCCCATGGCACTTCCAGATCTTACACAAACCAACCCAGCTCCCCACAGCCATCTAGCTGAGCAAGAGTAATACTAATTTTAGAATCAATTTGCTAAACCATCAGACAGTTTCCAATTATTCCAGCCTGGAACAGCAAATGAAAACTTGATGCCCAAGCAGAAGCTCCACTTTTAAGTGCAAGTCTTCCCAACACGTTGGCCAACCCTGGACCCCTCCATGGTGCTGATGTTGGAATTGTGTGTCAGTGTTTCTATTCAGGTGCAAGCTGATGGGTTTTCGTGGGGCACAGAAATATTTTCTCCTAAATAGAGAAGAACTTACTGCTCTCCGAATGAGCAAGGCATATTTTTAGATGTAGAGGCAATTCAATTTTTGTCAGTGATTTGAAGTTCAGAGCAATTTTTTTGCTCACTGCTGTGAGTGTGTGGTCCCAGAAAATGGCAGGTACATGTACTCAAGCCAGCTACAATACATCTCTATGTGTGATCTCTTTGGGGATCAGGCACTGAGTTTCCATAAACATCAATACACACAATTTTATTCTGTCTTACTGTACATTCTTCAAGGCCTGCCCTGAGCCTGCTTTTGGAGCTCAGGGTTGAGCTCCCTTCTCCATGGTCCCTGCATCATCAAATTCCCACCCAAGGGTAAATTGACTGCAAAGTTCACTAAGGAATAATGTCTTTTCAAGGTTCTGCCTGGAGAAATTTGAAAGAAAAATGGTGTGAAACCATTCCTGCAAAAGGAAAGCAACCCTGAATGGGCTGGTGCATGGGAGATGACGTCCTCTCTGATGCAACCAAGGAAGAATTGAAAGGAGCCCTTCCAAATTCAGCAGATGGAAACTTCCTACAGATTCATGGCCTGAGCACTCACTTCTAAATGATGGATAGAAACACTAATGCACAATTCCAACATAAAAACAATGGAGAGTTCCAGGGCTGGCCAACACGCTTTTGCTGATATGAGCTGGTGAAAGCACAAAAAGGCATTAAGTAATTCAGTGCCATAAAACCATGCTAGCATCAATGGTCTTTCCAGTCTCACTAGGGAACTGTTGTAAGCTAATGGTATGAAGAGCTTCTGCTGGGTAAAGTGTACCTCCACTGGGAAAGGCTGTTGTCACGTTATCTTCTTTGTGCTGATGCCCACCAAGCTGAACAGATCTGTAGAGGAAACAGCTCAAAGACAGGGAACTAGGTTTGATTCATTACCAGAAATATCATTTCCCCTATTTGCTGCTAGAAAAGGGACCACTGATGTGACTTTGGGCCATTTGTGCCACTCTGCAGCCAACAACAATTGACCAAGCAGCCTCGAGTAACCCTAAAAAAAACCAAAATCACAATGTATTTCCACACATAAGGTCAACATCCCCCTTCTTACATCCTAGCCAAAAGAGCTGCAAGGGTTGTTGTGCTTGATAACTTGCACATGCTTTGCTTTATTTATTCCACACAGCAGGCTTGAAGCTGGTTATATCTAAAGGGAGACAAAAGCAACCCAAATGGGCAGGATTACTTTTTTCTCAGCTGTGCCACTACAGAATTGATTTGACTGACAAGCTGTGAAATGCAGTTAATGAGCTTGGGTTTCTGTTGGCTCTGGTTGCTACAAGGATGACAGTTCCTACCCTCTGATGTGTCAATTTCCCACTTCTAAAGTCAGCCAAAGAAAGAGTATTAGCCGTGAAACTTAAGGAAGTATTAGCAGAGAAAGGATAATATTATCAGAAATTTGAAGTAATTATCCTTCTTTGGAATAATCCTCGATAGGATGAACATAATGCCATGTAGTTTAAAAGTGAGATGGAGGAAAAAAGAAGATGTAATTTACTCGACAAGCAACGGAACTTCAGCTTTGGCAGAAAAATGTCATCTGGGTTTATGTCATAAAGAAACACAGAGCTTTTCCTGTTGTTTAGATGGACAGCAAGAAGAGGGTTATGTTCTGGAGATGTAAGCCAGCCCAGGCAAATGCCCACTGGGATAACACGGAATTCACAAAGAAAGATAAAATTAATTTGATAGGGAATTAATTAAAAATTATTATTATTTTTAGCAAGCAAGCTATCAGGGCTACTTAAATACCACAGTTTAAATACCTGGACAGGACTGATCTGGCCATTAATTTAGAGACTCCTTCAAACACAGGGTCAGGAGGTGACTCATTCAGAGCTCTCCAACAGAGCGCATGATATCACACTGCAATAGAGAGCAGCTTCGATCCCAGCCCCCTTCCTCAATGCAGTGCAAACAGCCACCGACCACACGTGGCATGAAACAAGATACATTGGAAAGCAATGATATTTTCAGCCAGTAACACAGGAGCAAAGACAATATGGGCTTCTCGATCCAGGCTATCATCTGTATTAATTTGAGATGCAAATGCTGAGCAATTTTTAAAAGCAATATTGCAAGCCAGTGGAAGGGAGTGCTAGCTTCCCAGTGTTTGATTTTAATAAGCGAATCAGCTCAAATCAGTGGGAGAGGAAGCTGTTATGGGGGTCATTAGCATGCAAGGCACACACACACCAGCAGGAAGGCTCTGTAGACCAGCACAGAATATTCATCCCAAAGCATCTTCCTCACTGAGAGAGCATTGGTCACAGCTGAAAAACCAACTGAGCTGTCACCGAGTTTGTCAGTGGATGCCAGCCTGGGCTGAGCATGATGGATGAGCTATGTCCCCATTTGCAGGCATTTGCTTATAACCCAGCTTATAAACCCATGCAGCCTCAAGCTCCTTGCTGGGGTCCAGAACCAGATCTGTAGGTTGGTGGCTCTGCCTGTAGTAGGGGGGTTGGAACTTGATGATCCTCAGAGCCCCTTCCAATCCAAGCCATTCTATGATTCTGTTGGCATCCTTGCTGCCCCAGGAGGAAGGCAGCAGCTTCCTAATGATGTGGATAACTGGGTGCCAGCTCTGCAATCTGTACATGTATCTTCTCCCCATTACTGTCCACTGGCTTCACGGCTGAGCTAAAAGCATGGAGGGGCACACCCTTACTGTAATTCATGGTAGTGACCCATTAGGATACGTTAATTTTCCTCCTTGAAACCAACCAGACCAACCCAGCAGAGCACCAGCCTTACTATCTTCAGAAGCGTCCGGTTGTCCCTGAGGCTCCCCACCATGCCGACGAAGGAGACGCTGAACATGGTGAAGCCCAACAGAAGCAGGATGATGGCAGGAGCAAGGAACATCCCTTCCAAGGTTTTGTGCTTCTGCCTCTCCACTTCGGCATAAATCCCAATGCACAGGATCACGAGGCCGATGATCTACGAGGAAAGTGTGAGATGTGCATCAGATGCCAAAGGGAAAAATCAGAAACTCTGAGGAAAAGGTGAAGGTGGAAGAGGTCCCAGAGGAAAAAAATGTCCAGTGTACTGCTAGATAAAAACATAACACGATGAGTGAGCTGCTGGGTCAGACCCAAAGGGTGATTGATAGAAAATGGGGTTCCATCCATCAGGGTTCCATCTCCCTCCATGGCAGCCCTACATCTTCCTCACAAAGGAGCTGCATTTTGCAAGGTTCTTCCTCTCGCCATCTCACTCAATACACCCAGCTGCTCAAGCTGACCCTTGCCCTGTGTTTACAGACCCTGGGCTGTCTATATCAATACTGCCAGCCCATCTACCCAAACTCCCATCCTTAGACAGACCAGTCCCCCAAATTACTCATTCCACTCCAGCACCTCCCTCAAGCACCACCTTGTACCAAAACCCACGGCAAGCCACTCAGTCTCTGTGCCATGGATGAAAAACATCATCAAATGTAACAACAGATTATTTTTGACCATCTTCCTCCCCTCCCTCCAATAAAACAGCCCTAATTGAAAAAGAGAGCCCAAGGGTGCCAGGATAAAACAGGGCTCTGAAAAGGGCTCCTTTCATCTCTTTGGTTCCTACAGATGAAAGCCAACATGGAGATTCCAAGTGCTCAGAGCTGTCAGAAGCCATTCCCAGCACAACCAGCATGAAGCTGACTCCTGGAAAGGTCAGAGAAGAAAGCAAGGAGCATCCCAAGTGATTTTCCTGCTGCTTTTTGCAGCTCCCCCACCCTGAATCTTGGTGGGAAAATACTGCAGGAAAGCCTCAGCTCAAAGAGGAGAAAACCTCCTTTTCTCACTCCTTTTTCCATCTCACTCCTTTCCCTTTCCAAGAGGCTCCATTTCTCCTTAATGAGTTTGCTCAAACTCTTCTGGTTAATTCACGTTGCCAATTCAATCCTTAATTTTCCTGCACAATCCTTTTGGAGGAATGATTTATTTTCTTCTCTACTCTGGTTGGACACTATTTGTGGAGTTACTGTACTCAGTTTATGTTTACCCATCACTGTCCACTTCCAGGCTACATCTCACTGATAGAGAAACTGAAATCTCCCAGAAAGTCAAGTCCAGATCTGTGATATTTGCAGACTGGTTGAAACTAAACAGGTGGGCCTATTCCTGATAACAGGCTTTTCATCCATTTTCTTCTTTATCCTTTATTTTAAGTATCAGTGTGGCACGTTGGGATTATGCTTGATGTAATGCTTCTCTCTTACACCATGTCTCAGGAGTTAGATGTGCACACCATGCTTGTAATCTCCACTCCAGCATGCCAATAAGAAACACTTTCTCCTTTTTAATTAATGATCAGTGATGCAAATTAGGGAAGAGACCACGGAAAACATATAAAAGAAACCCAGGAGTGGGGCTGAGGGCTGGGCACTCGAGGGACAGAGGAAGCATCTTACACAGACTGGGCTTCACCTGCTACCAAGGGAGAGAAAACAAGGAGGGCTTTCAGGATGCACTGCTTAACAACAGCCTTCCCAGGGCTGCACTGCTCCTTGAAACATTTCAAGCACGTGGCATGCAGGAGTCCTTCCTCCCAGCATCACCACCCAGCTGCCCCAGGCAGCCCTGTGCACACACCTCCAGATTTTCTCTTACCCAAGACAAACAAGTGAATTGGAAGAACCAAAATTAGCAAATACTCAGCTGATCTGCCTGAATTTCTCATCTCTCTCTGCTCAGCTCTTGGCTTGTGAAGCTCCCCCAGCATTCTGCAACCTGTTCTGCTAAGGGTCGCCACTGCAGGCTGGAACTTCTAGTTAGAAATAAAATGAGTTGCTGCTACTCAAAGCACCTTCAGGCATGAGAAGGCACCTCACAGAGCAACGTACACCCTGAGGAAGGGAATGGATATACCAGAACCTCTCCCAGCAATGGGAGATTGCAAGGAATTAACAGCAAAGCCAGGAATATAATGAGTTTCCTAAGGACAAGAGGGGATCGATGCCCGAAGGACAAGAGGGAACTGAAGGGTGGCAAAGGGATTTTGATGAAAAATAGCTGGGGAAAAAAATTCCCTGAAAAGCAGTGTTTCTATTGAGAAACAGTGGATTATGGAGCAAATCGGCAGTGTCAAAGCCTTTGCTAGAACCTGTGCAGCAACATGCACTTCACAAATGAGATCATCAGCTGAAGAAGAGCACTTAAAGCAGCAGGAAGAGATTGCACCACTCCCTGCAAAGCCTGGCTGCTCTGGTTTCCATCACTGGGTTCATCTTGGAGGGGTTGTTTTTGCCATATGAATTCAGGCAGCACAGATCTTTCTGATTCCTGGCATCACAACTGCTTTCCTCCACACACGCTCAATGCCGTGCTAAGGTGCATAATGAAGTCTGCCAGTAAATCCTCTGTAGTTACACACCAATTGCCCAGTGATCACCTTAATGCAGTGCAAACTCCAAGGTAGCCAGCAGCTGCTCATAATGAGCGCTCTGCAATGCATCCAAGAGAAAAAGCAAACCTTCGCTTACTGTCTAACGAGAGGATGATTATCTCATTTCTGCATAACTGTGGGATCAAACTGCCACTGTGGAGAAAGACAGTGCACTATCTGATGGCAAAAAAAAAAAAAAAAAAAAGAGCAGGGGGATTCTGAGGGCAGAATCTCTGCCAAAGCAGAGCAACCTCGCAGCCTGCCAGGGGCCAAGCAGCAGGCATGGCTCACCCCAGGGTGATCAGCTTTAATTAGATGAGTCAGTGCTAATGCCAGGCAGTAATTTCTCCTCATTCAGGAACACCGAAAGTCAGAACAACAGTGGTTTCAAACCCAGGCAGACAGGTGGTGTGTCCTAGTTTTGGCTGGAATAGGGTTAATTTTCTTCTCAGTAGATTGCATAGTGCTGCGCTTTGGATTTAGGAGGACAGCGTTGATAACATGCTGATGTTTTAGTTATTGCTGAGCAATGCTTATGCTAAACAAAGAACTCAGGTTCTCATGATGTGACAGAGGCTGAGGAGACAGAACCAGGACAGCTGACCTGAACTGAATAAAGAGATTGGAAAAGGGTCACAAATCTTCACCCTATGGAGGCAACTCTTGTCAGCCACGAAGGGGAGAGATCCCTTCAAGGAAGACCTGGTATGTTTCCCAAACAAATGACTATCTGTGGAGAAAGGTACCTGGTACCAGAGGGAATTAGCTGTTCTGGAGAAGATGTGTGATGTTGACATGGTCAATGAGCAGCCATCCCAAGATTCAGATGCTTACCAACCCAACTCAATGGCACCAATGGCCTGGAAACACAGAGAGAAGCCAAAGGTGGATGACACAGCTGTCATGCCTCAACAACACAGAGAAAATCTCCCTTCCTCCCTCTGGGTCTGTGTGTTGGTTGTGGAGAAACATTCCCAAGAGGTTCAGCAACTCAAAGATTATCTATCTTCCTTCCCACCAGTACAGAGCAGTAGCTCACCCACTAGAAGTAAGAGTTCCTCTGCTTGAAAAAGGATACAGTGAGTACACACCATGATGCTTACTAATTTCCTTCCTTTTCTGTCCTGTTAAACTGTTTTTATCTCAACCCATAGATTGTACCTTTTGTTTCCACCCTCCCCATCCTGCTGAGGTGGGAGGGAACACTGAGTGCATTCAGACATGAAAAAACAGAATGCTCCTGTTTGAAATAAAATTGAAAACAGAGCTACTCCACCTCTGACAAGCAGCCAGGACGATGAATGGTGTTAAATCTGATGGTATAAAAGCAGCCAGGAGGCCTGTGGCATGCTGGCTGTCACACACCTTCTGCCTCTCATCACATAAACACAAATATCCAATGCCTGGCGGATGCAATGCAGAAAAAATAAATAAATAAAAAAAAAACAGAGCTACCTGCAGGGTAACAGACCTATTTTGCTTATTTTCTTGGAGTGTACACCAGGTCTTCAGCAGCTCTGGGAGATGATGAAACCCTCAAGGGGGAAATGGGAGGTAATGTAATGGGATGTAATGTGCTCACAGCAGTGCTCCATAGGAAGCTCCAGCCCAACACACAGCACTCCAACCTCTGGGCAATTGGCTTCATGCGTGGTTTCAAGCCACTCTCTGGTTTATCCTACACTCCTTTGCTTTATAGATTTTCCCATCTATATGTATTTACTTTCATTACAGAAAAGGGCTGGAAAGGACCCAATGGTGTTCTTTTATCCATTGAACCAATTCCCTGCAGGCTGGATAGAAAACCATATCACCTCCCCCTCCAAATCTCCTCAGTCCTTCCCGGTGAATTATTCTGAATGCTTCTCCATGGGAGGTGCTACGTTTTCAAGGCCTTCACTCAAAGCAACAAGACATGTCTGCACAGTAATTACTACCGAGTGCATTCGGCTGCAGCAAAACACAGCCCCGTCACGTCTGGTTAATGAGATGGGAGAGCTGCTGGATGGACACAGAGGCACTGCGTGCATCTCCAGAAGTGGGTCAGGGGGCTGGAAAGGCCGTGAGATCCGTGTGGATTCAATAGAGCAATGGACAGACAGGGACCACCCTGGGGACCTCAGTGAGCTCACACATCCCTGGTTAAAGGCAGGCTGGGTCACAGCCATTCCAAATCACCTTTTCTGCAGCTACTTGTCAGTTAATGAGGAAATACTGAGGCTCTTCTTGCTCGCAGGCTGGACCAGCCACACACTGCTGTGTACCCCACAGACTGCCCTGTCTCACTGTGCACCCACCCATCAGTGCATGGCATTGCACATCCCCTCACTAATCCGCATTTGCAAAGCACAGCCAAGAGCTATGGTCAGACAGCTTGGAATTAAAACAAAACAGCACTTCCTCCTCATCCTTACGGCTGTTTTAAGGCATTTCCAGGAAAGCAAACCTCAGATCCCTGCAGGAAACAAAACCCCAGTGACAGGTGGTGGTGATTAATCTCTCATTCACACTCAGAGGTGAGCACAAGTTTTCTGGCACGGTGAGACAATGCAGTTCACCAACCCCAGGAGTGAGAGCTGCCCTCCCATGAGCTCACTGATAGAACAAACAAATCAATAAGGGGCGAGGGAGGCATTTTCAAGCTTTGTTTGCAACCCTATTTACTCTTCAACCCGCCTAGGAACACCAGAGATATTTGTGCATTCAATTACATTGAAACAATCAGGCATGCATGCCACTACACACACCCGGGCAGCAAGAGTGCATGGGGCAAAGATGATTAATTAGCTGTCAGGAGGAAATACCTATAAATACTGTGGATTGGATTATGCAAGGTTAACCCTGGGAAGGTGCCAAGCTCACATGGAATTTGTTATCCAGGGGTGTACAGAGCTCGGGTGGGGGGATTTCCTGCTGATTCCCCCGGCCTCAACACTTGCTTACACCTTCCAGCTGCAGGGGAAGCCTCACCCCGACCACATCTGCCTCAATGATTTGAAACTGCTTAACGACAAGTGTTACTTTTCCTCTTAAAATAACCAGCCTGGTCCAAATAACCACCACTGCCACATCCACGCCAATGGGTTCTGCCAGCTGCTCCAGCCCCATCCCTACCGAACCACGTGAAGGGAACAGCACTGCTGCCCGGTGGCCCCTTGAGTGATCAAAGTGTTAAATCTGTGTTTGCTGAGTGCTTTGAAACACAGCTCGCTGCCACAGGGCATTTCCAGGAGCAGCCCTGGGGATGGGCGGTCCGAGGGTGCTCTTAAACCCATCAAAAGCTGCAGTTTTTGGACCAGCTGGGACCCTTTTTTTCTTTTTTTGCTTATGCAAAGCATGAGGGACTCAGCGAAACACACAGCACAGCACCAGGTTTTATAGCAGAGATCTGATGCCTGGAAGGAGGAAATTTGGACACTGGAACATGAAAATTGAACCCACGGGGGTGGCACCGTGGGGAACAACAGCAGGAAAAACAGCAAAGCAACCCGAGCACCTACCGAGAAGAGAGTGGCATAGGTGGACAAAGCAAATTTGATGCTGTAGTAATAGAGGAGGGAGTTTCGGCACTCGGAGCCCTGTGCCATCCCGGGGCGGCCGCTCGCTGCCTGCCAGACCCTCCCAGCTCCGGCTGCTGGGGAGCGCAGACATGCGCCCGATGCTGCTGCACGCACCACCAGCCTTCAACTTGAACTGCTTCCTCCTGGCAGGAACCCAGCCTGAAAGAGGGAAGGCAGAAACGCGAAGAGCCGGAGTTAACCCTTTGCTGCGCCTGCTGCTCGCCTTTGTTGCCGAAATCGACAGCGGAGCTCTGTGCAGGAAGGTTCAATTCGGTGGGTGTTCTGCGGGGGTCTCCGGAAAATTGTTAATGGTGTTGCAGGCAGGATCTCTTGGCATTCCCAGAGTGCTGGCGGAGCTGGGGGTGATCCTGCAGTGATGTGTCCTGCAGCAGCAGAGGGTGAGCGGCAGCCCCAAATGGAACAGAAACGGAGCAGATTTCCGCCAGGCGATCGTTTGGAGCTCAGTGCTGGAGAACAAAGTCCGTGTTTGCCCGCTGCAGATGGGGCAGAGCCTCTGCCTCAGCTCTGTCTCGAGCCTGCAGCTGCCTGGGTAGGAATATGGGAACAAAATAGAGGAGAAGGTGCGTGGAGCAGGAAAGCAGCAGCGTGAGACCATACAGGGGGGGTCTCCGTACCAGCCTCCACAACATGGCTGTGAAAATGGAAAACAGGAGAGAAGATTGATGTTTAACAAAAGGAGCAAAAGTGAGGCTGGAGGAGCTGGGAAATGCTGGGACAGGTTAAGGGAAATGCAGCCACTGTGTGATCTTGCTCCCTCGATGCTGGGAAGCACTTGGGATCACCTACAAAGGGAAAAACCTTCATTTCTGCAGTGTGCTGCAGTTTGGAGAAGTAAAGAAAAATGCATTGCTGTCCACTGCGTGGTTCACTGCCCTGGGAAATGTTTTAAAAAGCCCCATCTCTGGTGGGGAAGGCAGCAGTGGTGCAGTGCTTCTCACTTGCAGAGAGAAATGGAGAATTATAGTGAGGTTTGGAGAAGTAATGTGACTCAGGGCTGCACCCAAATGCTTGGCCCCATATTTACCCATCTATGGTGCTAGAGTTTCTCACATTAGGTCTTAGGAGATGAAGAGCAATTCAGCACAGCAAAAGAGCTTACACCGCAGTCCTTTTGGCTCACCACCCTGCTTGCACTGGTTGTTACACAGGGACAGAGTTGGCTGACTTTGGCAGTGCATTGTCTCCCCTGATGGGAAGGGTCATAGAATAGAATCACAAAATCAAAGTTGGAAAAGATGTCGAAGATGCCCAAGTCCAACCCCAACCCATCCCACCATGCCCACATCCCATGGCTCTGTGCAGCTGTGCCAATGCATCACTACTCTCTTAGAGAAGCATTTCCTAATACCCAACCTGAACCTCCCCAGCACAACCTGAGGCCACCACCTTTCTTATTGTTGTTACCTGGGAGAAGAGGCCATTGGCTTCAGCCATTGATCAGCCCATCCAGAACCTTCTGTAGCACTTTCCTACCCTCACACAGGCCAACCCTTTCTCCCAGCTTGGTGTCACCTGCAAACTTTGATGCAAGATTTCTAAAATGATGGCATTTGGCTAATGCTTTATTTGACATTTTAAAGCCTGAAGCTCTCAAGCTGCACGCCGGAGCCATTCTTATTTCTTGGGCAGTGTGTACACCAAGCTGCCAGCTTCCAAATTAAATCACTGCATTCTGTAAGCCCAAGCTATATTTATCCATCAGCTCCCACCTTACACGGTGCCCTTCCCCACGCAGAGTCGTCTCAGCTTTGCTGTCCCCCTCCTGTAGCATATGAAATCATTTAACAGATGCACCAGCAAATGAAAAGACTTTCCATGGTGCAATTGCATTGCTTGAATGACAGCTTGGCCTGCATTTTCCCAGGCAGGCAGCAATTAAAGTGGAAATGTTAATCTGTGCTGCTGCAAACCACAGCGCAGCTGGCTCAATACCATCGTGAGCAGCCATCAAGAATAAAGTGAGCAGTGGGGATGGGAGGAGAAATCGTTCTGAGGAGTTAAGATAATAAGCAAGCAGCGCTGGGTGGTGATGAACAGGAATAAAACCGAAGCATTAATGTGCAATTTTCTGATTTGTAAAACTCTGATTACAGGAGGAGGGTGAAGACTGGGGCTGGGGGATGCCAGGCTCAGCATCACGCTGTGCCCATGCCAATGGCAAAGAGATGTGCAGCAAAGGCATTTCTGACTCCTAGGGTTCAATTGCACTTGAGCAAGCTCCTGGGTCAGCTGGTTCTGTAGAGCATCACTTGTAATTGCACAGCACAGAGCTGTCCTTCACAAACCTGCGTTCTCCCCTTGGGAACCAAGCAATGCTCCCAGCCTCAGCAGCCTGAAGTCCTGGAAGGAAAGCAGAGAGGGCAGGAGAGCATCACATTTACCATGTCTGCAAGGTTCATGTGTGCCAGGAGTTTCTGCCTTTCCCCTGCAGCTCCTAAAGGTCCCATTCACTGTGTTCACTTGGTTTCTTTTCCCCTTTGTTCTCCTTATTTTTAGCCATCTTTGTGCTAAAAGCCCCAAAGACTCTGCTCCAAAGTCCTAAATCACTGCTGTTCTCCCTCTTCATTAAAACACCTCGCTAATTAACCCACATATAAATCAAATCATAAACTCGTTACATAGGTTCCCAGCACTAGGGATAACTAAAAACTTAAAACAATCCTTCCGTCTCTCAGTCCCACCACACATTGAGGGTCCAGAAACACTGATGGAGGCTCTGCTGTGGCTTTCCCACTGTCCCTAATTCTCATTCTTGTGCTCAGATTCGGTCTCTTCTATTGGTGTTTCATACCTGGCCCTGGCACACTGGCCTAAATACACTAAATAGCAAAGCCATGGGACTGCAGAATTGACCCAGCAACCAATTGACCCCAGGGTTGGGAGTGGAGGAGGAATTCTGACGCTCCTTTTTCAAAAGGACTCCAATGGATTTAGTTTTTAGTGGATTATCCTGAGCGCATATACTCTGTGTTGTTGCTTTTTCCCTTATTTGTGCATATTTTCTTTTTTAAAAATCAAAAATCTTCCTGGAAGGTCCCTGAGCTTGTTATGATCCACTCAGCACAGAGCCAATGCAATCAGGCAGCTGTAATTTCAACCCTAGCAAACATCCCTCCTGTGGTTTGCTTGCATTTTGGGAGGGAAAGTTTCCATGTGGGGATTGAACATGCCATCACAACAGAAGGTGATGGGTGGGAGAGACCCCGTGTCTCATTCAGCAATGCATCACTGCTACTATCACAGAACTATTTGGCAGCTTAGGTGCCTTGCACACTGTTAAACCACCAACACACAGCCTGGGAACCAGAGAAACTGCTGCTGCCTCGTGCTCAGCTGCACACAGGAGACACGCAAGCTCTTCCCAAATTCCAATCTGTGCCAACACATTCCAGCCCTACAGCAATAGAGAAAACCAAAACCTCAAATGCAATAACAGCTTTCAATTTGCAGAGGTTATGCATGGCTCAAGCACCAGTGCAGCTTCTGTTCTTTCCCAACAATGCAAGCCAAAGTCAGAGCCCTGATGATAGGTAAGCATCCCCCAGCCCTGCTGTACAACCTCTGATGCTATGATTTGATGATCCCAACTCTGCTCTCACCCCCAGGCCTCCAAGAAATTAGGAACCTGAGCAGTGCTGTCTTGTTCTCAACCCCTCCCAGTTTCACAGTGCACTTGTAGCAAACATCAGATTCTTTAGCGTACCTCAGAGGAGCATCTGAAGCCACCAGAAGCAAATGTGATTAATGGGGAGGAAGAAAAGTCCCCATACTGGGTTGACTTAAAAGCTAAAAAGCCAAACTCCAGTCTGAGCTCTGCACTGCAGCGCTAAGCACTCTGATCAGCCACAATGTAGGGAGAAAAGCCATCATGTCATGATAGAAAACGATCCTGGCCACAAGTAGGAGCAGATTTTGGTGTGACACCATTCCTCCAAGCTTGCAGTTTATCTCCATTCATCTACAAAGCAGCCTGAAGCCAGGTGCCACCAACTCCCAGCAGTGTCAGGGTCTGTTTGTTGGATATCCCATGGAGGGAAAGGATTTACAGTCCTGCACCAGATCCCTGGAGGAATCTGGGATTGGTCACACCAATTTGCCACTATAAAACCATTTTGCATGCAGCATCAACAGCAAGATTTATCCTACTGACAACCGTCTTGCCCCCATGAAACATCTGCAACTTCTGCACCCAACGAAAAAGGTGGGACTGCAAGAGCTGCATCACCTTCCCAACCCCACAGCAATTCAGTTTCCCTCCAGATCTGAAATTCAGCCAGGAAATACTAAATTACATTTCATTCCTTTAAGGTTTTTTTCTCTGAAACGCCCCAACCACTGCGCTGACCGCTCCACCAATGGCTTCATCACTCTGTGTCCTTCAGGGCTGCCAGCAGCGTGGGACCAACACAGAGCTCCTGCAGATGGGATTGGGGTGGCCAGGGGGATGGAGCAGTTTGCTGGTGGAGCTGCAGAACCATTTGCAAATTGAGGCAAAACCAGTGAGCACAAGGCCAAGCAGCCTAATGGCCTTCCCAGCAATGCTCCCCATTGCAGCCCTCTATAAGTCAATAGTGCCCATGCCAAGAGCTGCTTCCTCCACTGCAGCACTGTCAGTGAAAGCACCAATGGTTTAAAACCCCCCAGTGCTCACTTAAACCAAGGGACACCAACTCCCCTAAGCCTCTGCACAAATACACTGAGCACATGCTAAGCCACACTGAGAATAGATAGAATAGATCCCCAGGAACAAAAATTGGTTCTAGATAGGTAAACACTGCTCAGTGTCCAACAATAAAGCATTTTCCTTTGAGGGATGCAATCAGAGACACAGCACCCAGCAAGCTGTCAGTAGTCAGCCAGCAAAACCAGTGTGATGCCTCACATGATGCTGAGGTTTGGCATTGGTTATAGTGTTGGAACAGGGGCCAGATCCCTTCCCTTTGCTGTGACAGTTTACCATAAATGTATGTTTTCCAGCATCGGTCTCAGCTTGAATTCACAGCACAAATGACTCATTTCTGCTGCAGGAAAAGCAACGTTTGCAGGGAGGAACCTCAGTTAAACAACAACTGAGGGGAAAGAAAAAAAAAACAACAACAAAGAATCACATATAAATAAAGGAAATCAAGGAGCCAAGGGCAGAGTGATGCCGCCAGCCCCAGACACACAGCTCAGGGGCATGCCAAACACCAACACAACACCCACCACCACATCTGAGTGGGAGACACAGCTGACAACTGGATCTGCCTACACATCAAGCCCTGCAGCTCCTTTCGTTGCTCCTCCAGTCCTTACCCATCCCAGTGGCTTTCCCTGTGCTCAACACCCAGCGAAGTCATGAAGGCCTTTTCCATCTCTTGCCTTCAGGAGCTTTATCCATCCTGACGGCTGCTGGAGCTGCTCACAATACACTTATCTAATCAAGCTCTTCCTCCAGCAGTGTCTGGTGAGGGAACAGCAGCAAAGCCTGCACGGCACTGGGAAGATTCTGCCTGGGCGCTGCCCTTGGGTTTACCTCCAGCTCAAGAGAAACATGACTGGAAATCCAAACCCACACATTGGCATCATCCCCATCCCAAGAGACTGGGATCCCAAGGCCAGGCTGTCAGTGTGGAGAATGCAAGCATCTCTTCTTTTGGGAGCAAGGCGTGAGCTGCCAGGAAATAAGGAAGCTTGTCTGACAACACCCAGAACATTTACGCTTGGCAATTTCTCAGACACCCTCAGGAAAGGTTTTTAAGGAGGGAATCCCAAGCTTTAGTTGTACCAGTCGACTATTTCCAGCTGTATTTTTTGGCATTCTCAAAAAGCACTCGCACTGCAGGAAGCTCTCACTACCATGAGTTTTCATGGGAACCCAGCACGCTCCAGGCAGGACGTTGTTGGCCAGTAGCAAGCAGACCCCATCCAGCTTCATTTCCCAAACTCAACCCAAACAACGGTGGCTTCCAAATCATGGATCTGCTCCTCTTTTTTTTTTTCTTTTTTTTTTAAGGAAATGAGCTGCAAACTGATTGGGGAATGTTTGCATAGAGCCAGGATGCTGAGATCTCCCTACATTGCCCCTAAATTCCATCAGCTCCATATCATTTCCCTTCTGCCCCCAACACAGAGCCATCCCTTTTTATTACTCTTATAATGACTCTGAAATGTGCAAGTCAGTGTCCAAAGGAAAAACAAGAGGAGGAAAGAAGAGAGGTAACTCGAGCAAGATGTATTTGGGTTTAAATTGCTTCGAGCAATCATCCAATTGAGCTGAGTTCATTTCATTTGCACACAGCCCTGCGAGCGGAGCGCTTTGCGTTATGGATAATCTCCGCTCTTCATTTAGAGCGCTTTTGGCAGACGTTGCCGGGTGGAAATAAAGCCATCATTTAATAAATAAAAGGCCAACACTTGGAAATGCGCAGTGCTCCTGACCTAACGAAGAGTTATGTTGAGTGGAAAAGCAGCAGAGGCATATGGAGATTTCTTTGTGTGCTGCTGGCCAAGCCCTAAGGAAGCTAAAAACAAACCAGAGGTTTTTCCTTCTGCTCTCAAGGCACTGCAACCTCCCAACAAAAACACCATCATTAGGGAGGACAGGCTTGGACCACATCCTGGTTTTGGACTCGTTCAGTCTTCCTTCCCAGCTTTGGTTGCTGCTCCTCTGCATCCAAGCAGCTGTTCCAAACAGCCCCACTGGTTCCATTCCGAGAAATTCAGAGTCACTTCACTAAACCTCCAGCAAATCCTCCCCAAATCCCACAGCTCGCCTTCCCCTCAACCCACTTTCCAGTATGCCCTGGGCACCTGCAACAGGGAACACATCAATAGACTCACCCTCAGCCTGCGAGGCATTGCCAACACCATGGCTGCAGATTTCTTTTTAAGGAGAAAAAGAAAAAAGATTTCATCTCAACTTTGATCTTAGCATGCTGGTGTGGACACTGTGACCAAGCAATGCCTAGAGTTCTTCAGGAGGGCCAGACCCTTTCCTATTAGAAGGACCTTCCTGGACGAAGTAGAGATTAAAAGATGCTCAGAAGCAGAGATTTAACAACTGCATCACACTTCAAGCAGGAGTACCTGAACTTGGGGGCTGCTGCACCCTGCAGATTGGGTGACAAGCCTGCTACCATCCCCAGCCCCATTATCACATTTATCAGCATAAGAACAGCTTAGAAGAGAGCAGCTCTCAAGAGTTCTCATTGCTGAGATGCCTAAGGCTTGCCTTTCTTCCTACTTTGGACTTTACAGATCTATGGGCAAGTTTCCAGTTGAAACACAGCACTTTGGGCTGTTGATGGACTGCTTCTGAAATGCCCAACCCAGGAATGACTTTCAGCAGGTAGCTTGGAAGCAAAGCTATTAAGTGGGAAAAAGGCCAGTTGAAAGTTGCAGTTGCCCTCCCATAGCATGAGTGTGCTCCAATGGGGACCAGCATGGTGGGAACTGCTGACCACAAGGATGCCCAGAGCCACTTCCCACTGACCTGAGGCAGCTCATTCATTGCAGCTGTGGGACCCCCTCTGAGCTTTCCCCACTCAAACAGTTTGCAGTCATCACAAGGAAAAGCTGGAAATGGATTCCCAGGAGCTATGGGTACATCAAGTGCATTGTCATTCAGCCCCTTCACTTCATGATGAACACTTGGGTTCTCCACATCTTCCAAGTCCTCCAAATTGTCTGGGTCATAGAATCATTCAGGTTGGAAAAGACCACTAAGATCATCTAGTCCCACCACCAGCCATCACCACCTTGCCTCTCAGTGCAATATCTACCAGCTCACACAAGCCAAAGAAAACTATCTGCAAGGATACTAGGTAACCTGCCCAAGAGATGCTGTACCAGCAGGCAGACATTCTGAGAGGAACCCAATTTGGAACAGATTTCATCCTTCTGGAGGCTCAGTGCTGAGGGATTTGTGAAGATATGGTGAAGATGGGTTGGGGTT